CTGGAAAATGAGCCAAATTAAAACCCAGTGAATATGTAAAATTTAGCATAGAACACATTATCTAAATGATAATAACTGTGAATTTAAAAACCCAATGAATATGCGTAAAATGCTAAATCAGCGAAATTTAAACCCAGCGAAAATTAGTCATTATACAGTATCCAAATTGATCAACCAAGACATTTTTGGGGGGCTCACAAATATATACATGTCTTTTAGGAGATGGTCTTCTATTAAAGAAAATGCAATAAATCTGATCGTCTCGCCAGTGAAATGAGTATACATACTAGGCTAATGGCAAACCAAGTTTGAGAAATGGCTTCTAGCCAAAAGGAATGTCAGTTCATTGTGTCGTTCTTTCCTCAATGCACATGAGAAATCGATTACACTGAGTACACTCATGCTGTTATCATTTTTTTTTCAGAGAAGGTGAGATTCCAAGTCCATATATGGGCATACATTTTGTAGAATGTCTGGAGCTCGGCCAATAAAATGTGTTGTTGTAGGTGATGGTGCTGTTGGCAAAACATGCATGTTGATTTCGTACACAAGTAATGCATTTCCCGGGGAATACATACCCACAGTGTAAGTGCCAACTGATTTTTTTTTACACATGATAGTCCCAGAAAAAAATATTCATGATTTATAAATTTTTTCGCTCATTACATTACTGTAATTTAAAATTTGTATTCGTTTTTGTCAGAATTTTATGAATAAGTTTTCATGAAAAATCAAAATTAAACCACAAATTTAATGACAATTTTAGAATGGTTATGGAATTTATTTTCTACCAGAGGTTCATTTGTATCTAGCCTGTTTTGACGTCACTGAGCACAAAAGCGCTTTCTTTGGTAAAATTGTGGTCAAAATTCATGATATAGGCATTATGGCCAATTAGAGTATTTTCTACTCCCTCCATGTTTGTCATTAACTGTGAAAATGTTTGATTAAAGTAACAGTATAGTGAAAACAAATATTATAACAATCTGATGTATAATACCATCCATGGAGGCAGTACTGTGAAATACTTTATTTTCGCTTGGAATTAATTTTTGCTATTTTCGCTGAAGGAATAATTCAGTGAAAATAAAATCCAATGAAAATACCCTTTTTCCATATTTTACATTCAACTCGTCAAAAATCGTTGGAAATAAATTCCATAAAAAACACCAAAAAAGTTTTTTCAGCGAGAATTAATTCCAGCTAAAATTATGTATTTTAAAGTATACAATCCACAAATGCACATACCGGTATACAAATTGAGTCGTAAAAGTGGGATCATTGTCTTAGTTAGCTCTCATATACTTCATGTCTAAATACTTCAGTTTACCCAGAGTAAGACTAATTGTTAATGTTCATCATCAGATCATTCGTAATTGTTTGCAATTATTATTCTTTTCTTTCTTTGTTTAGTTTTGATAACTACAATGCTGGATTCGTTGTAGACGGCATCCCAGTTAGCTTGGGATTATGGGATACAGCAGGACAGGAAGACTACGACAGATTACGGCCATTGTCATATCCACAGGTAACAAAATGCAGTATGGTGGCTTTTTTATAGTTTGTCAATATTTCCAGATTCTGACCGTACATTTAATACATTAGGATCATGTATTGATCGCAGTAAGGTTGTTAATTTATTGCCTTTCCGTCACATTTGCATCCCACATTTAAATTTTCAGAAAACACAAACATTGCTACCTAACTTTAATTTTGTGTCTATGCAATTATTTTATTTAACCCTTTTAATGCCATATTTTTTTCCAAAATTGTGGTGCAATATTTTGTTTATTTCTTTCTTTTTTTAAATAATTTTGTTGATATAATAATTTTCAATTGGCGTGAAGTTTTAACATATATGAAAAATGTCAGTCTCATTTGATGGATAGTGACAAACATTGGGTTAACCTTTTCACCACCAGATTTTTTCGGCCAAATTTTTCTATAAAATTTCTGGAAATGAACCCTTTTTGACTCCCGTGTGCGAAGCACAAAAGGGAGTCTTTGCAGTTACCCTGTCTGTATGTCTGTATGTCTGTATGTATGTATGTATGTCACTTTTTTTGTTCCACCGTTATCTCAAGAACCACTAATCAAATTTTGGTGAAACTTGGTACATAGATGCTCTGGGATAATGCGCAGAGTTGATTAGGTTTTGGTAAAAATCTATGAATATTAATTACCTAATTTGCATGATAATTAGCTGATTTTTAGCTTGTTCCAAGACTTTTCCACTGATATCTGAAGAACCACTCATTGGATTTTGATGAAATTTGGCACATGGATGCTCTGAACTAGTGCGCAGATTTGATTAGTTTTGGGTAAAAATCTATGAATATTAATTACCTAATTTGCATGATAATTAACTGATTTTAAGCTGTTCTATGACTGTTTCACTGATTTTTGAAGAATCACTCATTGGATTTCAATGAAACTTGGCACATGGATGCTCTGTACTAATGCGCAGATTTGATTAGTTTTGGGTAAAAATCTGTTAATATTATTAATTACCTAATTTACATAATGATTAATCAATTTTCGGCTTTTCCACTGATATCTCAAGTACTAATCATAACATTTCAATAAAACTTGGGACACTGCACATACCTGATAGTTTTTAGGG